CTTCCTGAGGCTTTGTCCGTCTTCCTTAGATTTTTTTTTTCCCTTAAATTTGAGTTTGTCCCAGTGCCCTTCCTTATCCTGCCCCTGCTCCGCCCCACCATTCATTTCTTGCTTAAACATCCGAATCAGAGCAGAACATCCGGACTCAGCCTTAGAGGTTCGGGGGAATGAGGCAACTGCGAGGATACACTAGTCCAGACCAGTCCAACTCCCCTCCTGAGCTACTGCGGCCACCTCCTAGCAGTGCCACTGCTTCCAGCCTTCGTCCTTGGCAGAGGACACAGATTGTAACCAGATCGCTCGGGCCTCTGAACGAAACTCTTCAATGGCTTTCCAATTGTCAGAGGCGTATTTCATGTTGGGTAACTTTCTCTCTACAAATGTATAACGACTGAATGTATAAAATAATAAAAATAAATTTCTAAAAAAAAAAATTACCAGGGGCCAGACCAGCAGGTGGTATGGTGGTTAAGGAACTGGACTCCCACGTGGCAGACCAGTTTGAGCCCTGGGGCTTGCTTTCTCGCTCGCTCTCTCTCTCTGATGAGCTTGTGTCCTCTATAGCAATTTAAAAATAATAATAAAATTTTAATACCATAAACTGAGGGGCTAAAACAACTATTTCTCACAGTTCTAGAGGTTGGAAATCTGAGCTCAGGGTGCCGGCAGAGTTGGGTTCTTGGGGAGGGCCCTCCTACTGGTTAACAGCTCTCTTTCTGCACCCTCAATGTCAGAAAGAGCTACCTAGCCCTCTGGTCTTTTTCATAAGGGTGCTAAGCCCGCACGTGAGGGTTCCACCCTCTTGGACTTGTTACCTCCCAAAGGCCCACTTCTCATACTACATATTGAGTTAAGGTTTCTATATGAATCGGGGGGGGGCACAGTCAGTCTATTGCACTGATACTCTGAGAATAAAATCTGAAAATCTAAGTAAAATCCTTTCAGTTTCTTGCCCCAAATCATTCTGTCTCAGGACCATCACATGTCCATCTGGAGCCCTCTCTTCCCAACTCTCTCATTCTTTGGTTCTTGGTTGATGTACATTTCTCAGGGGTCTTACTTGTTTCCAGTCTAAATGAATCAGGCCCTTTTTTAGAGAAAGATTTTTGCTATAGGATGCGTATACTCATGGGAGAGAAGGAGAAAAAATGAGAAATTTGCCTCCCAAGAGGGATGGCCATGCCACAAACCCTTCTTCTCCACTCTCCTCTCAGGATTTTGAGCATGCACAGACACACACCTGGTGTTAGTTTCAAGCCTTCAGGTCCGAGACTCAAACTGCAGTTGGTCACATGGGAGTCCAGCACCTCAACCACCATGCCACCTGCTGGCCCTGCATATTTTTATAATAGCATCTCCTCATTCCTTCATAGTCCATACTACGGCTTGTCATTATATATTCGTTTTGGTGACTTGTACCCTCTTTGCCCCCCCCCCCATAAACACACACAGACTTTAAGTTCCTTAAGGGTCTGTCTCCATTTGCGTTCCTGCTATAGCTCCAGAATCTAGCACCAAACTGGCATAGAGCAAAAACCTACGTATTTGACGGATGAGTGAAAAGAAGACACTGTCATGACCTTGGTGACTGAAAGTAGGTAAGAACCTGAATGTGTGTGCTAGTGGTAGAGAAAAACAAGACAGATATATTTTAAAGAGAAAAGCAAGGCGCGCCCCACGCGGTGGTGGCGGCAGACCCTGCGCCCCCCCCACCCCCAGCT